TCCTTCTATCCTAGTCCTCAAATGTATATTTAAAAATAGTTTGCCAAAAGGAAGGGAGCAGAAAAAATAGATTAGAAAATCAGAATCAAGAGAAAGAAAGAGGAAGCCAGAGGTAAAACAGGCCTATACTGTGTGAGAGACTGACCTTACCCTTGAACTTGGAGATCAATTTGTCTCCAGGGTTTCTAGCAGCCAACACAAAGAAGCAGTCAAAAGTTGTGAGCTCAACATTGTTCAGGGATATTTCTGCAGTATAGAAACTGTCCCAGCGCCACACCATCCTAAGATAGCAGCCACTACCCACACGTGCCTATTGGAAGCTTGAAATGTGGCAAGTGTGACTGATGACTGGAATTATACTTTTTAAATTAATTTAAATTAAATTGGAGTAGCCAGGTGAGCAATGGACTACTCCACTGGGCAGTGCAGCTGAAGATAATTCTCAAGGTTAGTTCAGTGTGCCAGTTACAACTTTACTGCCTCTCTGCTCCAATTTTACCCTTTACTGCTGGTGTGCAGTAATGGAGTTGGGCCTTGCCATTGCAGTATTGTACTTTCCTTTTGCCAGCTGACACAATGCTAGGCTTTGTCAGTAGTGGGCACAGGAGAGACACTGAAGGAAGAAAGGCATGTCTCTCCCTGTTTCCAGTATGCTCCTCTGCGTAGATTCCTGTGGTTCATTCATGTGATAGGCAGCTGCAGGTCCCAGCTCCAGCAGCATACGTGGCTTCTCCTGTGCCCAGCTTCTCTGTATGTGAGCTTTCTGCTGAACTTGACTCCAGTACCACGGGTGGCCTCTCCAACATCCAGTTCCTGCAAAACAGGCACCAATTCCTGCAGAACAAAACAGTCAGCAGTACCTCAAACCTCATTCCGTGGCTTCAGAGTAAAATCTTACCAGTGAGACTCCTCCTGTGAACAACAGTCTCCAATATCTTCTATCCATATGCATGGCTGCCAGGACGCCCCAAAGGGCAGGTTTTCAGAAGTCCTGATGGTACAGTACCTAGGGCACTGCTCTCCTTGCCAGGGAGCTACTGTCCATCAAGGTCTAGGGCACAGCTACATAGAGGTCACAACCCCAGGCTGGGGGCTCTTCTTTGAGTACTCTATGCCAGTCCTAAGGGTACTCCTTATGTTTGCTCTTCCTGAATTCTTTACAATTCTTTTCTAGCAAATCCTGTGTTGCTCCAATCCTCTCATAGATAAATAGTTTTCATGTTAAACTTTCTTTGTTCAAATTACTGTGTTTTTAATCTCCTGAGTGGACTCTGGCTGATCTAAGAGCAGTATCAAGAGACAGACTTGTAAAGATGTCGTCTTTTGGCCTGGTGGTGGCCTTGGGCTGGAGCATAGTGACAAGATCCTTACTGATGGGACATGGGACCCAAGTAATATGTCACATGCAGTGCCAATTAAACATGCTATCACCTATGATAGTCTGTGATGATGAGCCAAGCGCAGCAAGGGCCTAAGAAGCCCAGGTGGATGTTGCACTTGACTGCCATGGTGGTAATTATGGCTGCAATGATTGTAGTGCAGGATATATTCTTTTAAGTGCACTTGAATGCTCACAGAGAGAAAATGCCAAGCTCACCTCAAATTATGCTCTGAGAACCAGAGAAGTGCTTGTGTGAAAACTGATTAGGAAAGAATGGGAATCATAAAGCTGAAAGTGGGGACATCTAGTTGGATCCAGAAGAAAGTGATAATCTTGAACCCCCAAATCATTGTGAGCTTTCCTTAGCAGCAGAAGTAGCTTGTGCTCTGGTGTAGTAGAATACTAGCTTTTGTTTCTTGAAAACTTCCTAAGTGCCTCATTTAAGCCAAATGCCTTGAAAGAGCATGGTCATTCATTGGTACCCATCAAGACCATTTCTTTTGGCTCCCACACCTGTAACTAGGGTCAAAACTGCGAATTTGTTCAAATATATCAGAATAAGCATAAGCCTGGGGAACATGTGTGAGTGTGAATATGAGGGCCACTGGGCTCCTTCAGTGAGACCGGGATGCCAAAACTTCCTTGGAACTACATAGGGGAGGAAGCTCAAAGACTTAGGAAGATTAGAACTGATCCCATCATCAAACTCCCAAAAGTTAGTGGCTAAAGACTGCTGGGGAGGGGGCACTGGTGCTTCCAGCCCACCAGACCCACAGAAGTGCAGTCTCTTTGGTGGAGAAATGCAGATTCTAGTTCTTGGAGGTCACTCAGGTAAGGGCAGGAGTATATGGTGAAGGCCTGAAGTGCCTGCAACCTGAAGATTTTCTCTCTGTAAAACAGAGAGGAGAACTCTTGCCTTGGGGTTGCTGCTGTGCTGCTGAAATACACACTGTAGGGGTTACTCTTCACACCCTGAACCCTACGCTATGAAAACAAAGGAGATGGTAGAAAGAGAGACTAAGTCTACAGTAAATCCATTTCATTTCTCTCCTTTTTTGACAAGATTTCACTGTGTATTTCAGGATGGCTTGAACTCACTACGTAGCCGGGATGACCTCAAACTCACAGCCATTCTCCTGCCTCAGCCTCCAAAGTGTTAGGATTACACATGTGTGCCGCCACGCCTGGCTCCCTCTTTATTTTTATAATTGCTTAACTATAGCAAGTTCTTACTCTGTGCCAAGCACAGTACTGGTGTTACTCTCATCTGAGATGATAGGTATTAACCTTCTCTATAGAAGAGAGAACTGAGGCTCAGAGAGTTTAAGCTACTTTCACCAGGTCACCTAGAACATAGATCCCTGTGCATTTGACTCCAGAGCCCTTGCTCATCACCTCTACAATGCACAGAGCTGCCAAGGTGAACTTCTGACATGGTGCCCAGCTCTGCTCATTTCAGAGCTCAGGTGCCAGATTCCTGGATCTGCATCTCCCCTTGTCAGACACATCTCAGACAGCTTTGGAAGAAGCTGCTGCCAGGAACTGACATGTCTCCTACCACTTCTCTCCCTCCTTAATTACTGTCCCCCTAAGGAGTGTCTTTTACCTGCCTGAGGTATTGGCTTCTCCTGCCCACACATGCCTCATAGATAGCCTGAAGCACCACCTCTGGAAAAATTAATTTTGGCATCTTGAGCACCACCCTTGAGAGAACTAATTTTGAATGCAGGACTCAAGGCTTGCAAAGGCAAGTGGCCTGGCAGAATGCTGTGCTTGGTCAAGCTGGTTCACATGAGTCCAAAAGAAATGGACGTGGTGCTCACTTTCTTTCTTTCTGCCTTGGAGGGCCTGGGTATGACTGCTAACCATTGTCTCCAGAGTTCTTGAGATTTCCTAACTCTGGGCATCTATGTGGAGGAGACTGTTTTAGTTTCATGGAGTAAATACAGACCTATGGCAGATCCTAAACTGGGCACCGAGTATATAAGCATGGCAGACACTGTAGCTGACTCCCCAATGCACTTGCACTCAATCCTACATGTGTTAAGACTGTAGTTTTTGGAATTGCTCCATTTCCAGGAATAGGTCCTGATATTTGTGGTAGCTAGTCACCAAATCCATTTTCCTTTCCTACTAGCATACAGCTGTGCTATGTTTCTCAGCTTCTTTTGCACAGAAGGATAGCCACATGACTAAATTCCAATAGTGTACCAGTAAATGTTTAACAACCAGGTCACCAGGGAGAGTGGAGGCCCAGATGGCAGCATTTGCTGATTTCCATGGTATAAATATTCCCAGCATGGCTGGTGTCAAGCTACCAAAGTGATGTCACCAAAAATGGAGAACAGATGTGCCTTGAACACCATTGTAAAATATTCCTTCACATGAGCACACTAGAGTAGTATAACTCTAAAGCATGACTGCTATATGACAGGCATAAATTGTATGCTTACAGGCAGTTACAGGGGAGACAGAGTTTAGCATGCAGGATATTTATTGAGTGGGACCTCTTAAGATCAACACCACAACAAGGAGAAGACAATAATAGAATTGAGCAGAAGGGATAGAGAAGGATAAACTTGAGTCATTTGTAGGAAAATGGGTGCACCTGGAGACTATAATGTTAAGGAGGTAAATAGATGCACAAGCTTAAATATCAGCAGCTTTCTCTTATATGAGAAACCCAATATAGAAAGAAAAAAGTTGTTATAATACAGCATGGCTGTGAAAAGTATGAAAGTATACTTTGATTTAGTATGATTATTTTATGAGTATTACATGGTTTTTGGCTTAGTAGTCTCGCTATCTGTTTATGATAATTAACTTGACAAGAAATTATGAAATAAATAAATACATTTTATGCTGGCAAAAAAAATATTAAAAGGGAGGGTGAAAGGCAAAAGAAAGAGTTGAGCTGTGTTACGTACATATATCAGTTCCCCAATATAATATAATCACTACGTGAATACATACTAATAATTTATTTTTTTAAAAAGGAATCTGGCGGAAGGAGAAGTTAAGTATGATACAGGCCCAACAACCGCACTGGTCAATCCTACAGCAGCTCGGAAGCTAAACGGGCCTTTGGAGTTATCCCAAATTGGGCAAAGGTAACCAGGCCCTCATCAAACAGTCATTGGAAAGGAGCTACTATGAGAAGGTGAGAACCGTGGGCAATGACACTCTGAAGCTTGCTGGCAGCTGGATCAACAAGCCCTGCAGTGCAAGGGGCCCTGGAAGACACGTGCATTCTCTCATTTTAATCTTCCAAAACCCTATGAGGAACAGAGTATTCATTTCGCACTTTACAGATAAGCAGCTGGGGGTTCAGAGAGGTTAAACAATGGACTTGCATCCCAGGTCTGTGTGACCTTCACTTGCTTTTATCACTGATATGCTGTTGTACTCCCTCTACCCCATCATCTGCAAGGCCGATAGGGCAGAAGCTACAGGAAAGGGAAGAGGTCACCTGGGACCAGGCAGTGCTCAGAACAAAAATTCTCCTCGGAATGTTGCAAACTTTTTTTTGGAAAGTCCTTCTGAGCCTAGGGCACATTCTTCCTGCATACTTTTTAAGAAATCATTAATCACTATATTATCTTATTTTTGATTGACACATGATATTGTACATATTTATGAGGTACAATGTGATGTTTTCTACACACATACACACTGTGTGCTTATCAAATCTGGGTAATTAGTGTCTCCATTTCTTCATTCATTCAGAAAAAGAAATCCTATCATTTGCAACATCTTGGATGAACCTCAAGGTTCACTTATGCTAAGTGAAATAAGCCAATCACAGGAAGAATTTTCTTGACAGGAAAAGTCCTGCACTTGAAGATGGAATTGAATTATGAAAACAGCTAAAGGTCACTGGGTGCCACCGCTGCAGAAAAAGGCAGCAAACCAAGCTCAGAGAAGACGTTAGAAATCAAAAACCAGCCACGGTTATGCAGAGCCACGTCCAAAAGCACAGTCACCCCTGTCAGAGCAATGGCAGTTTTTCTGGAAGAAGTCCTAAGCCATCCAGGGGACAAGTGTTCCAAGTTCCTCATTAGCTATGCATTCTTGGGGAAGTCACTCCTTCTGTCTGAGACTCAGTCTTGTCATCTGTAGACTAAGAACAGCAACGCTTTCTGACTTGAAGGCAGTACTTTTTAGAATTAGAATTAGAATTAGGATTATTAGAATTGTGGCTTTCAAGTCAGACAATTGACTTTTTTTTCTCTGTCACTGTATGGTTTAGGGCAAGTTCTTCCATTTCTCTGCGTGTTTCCAAATCTGTAAGATAAGAATAAGAATACCTTTGAAATAGGGTTTTCAGGACAATTAAATGAATTGGTATAGAAAAAGGTTTTTGAACCATAGTAGGCACATTGCAAGCACTCAGTGTTAGCCATTACTTTTGTTACCTTAGAGGGAAGTATGAAGATTAAAGGAGACAACTATGTGCACAGGTTTGACAAATAATTCAGCTTAGCAAATCAGCTCAGAAAATGGTGGTATTCTGGTTACTAACGCCTTGTAACAAGGCATTCTAAACCCTAGTGGTTTAAAATAACAACAATTATTTTCTTTGCTCCTAGGTCTGCAATTTGGGAAGGGCTTAATAGGGTTGGCTCATTTCTGCTTCCTGCACCATCAGCCAATAAGTTTCCAGTCAAGCTGGAGGACTTGCTCCATCCGGATGGCTCACTCACTTGGGCAGCTAGGTGAAGCCACCTATCATCTAAGAGCTAAGCTGGGGCTGAGACCAGTGGCCACTAGTGTCCCCACTTGGGCCTCTCCACAGGCTACTTAGGCATCCTCACAGCATGGCAAAGAACAAGTGCAGAGAACAAGTGTTCCAGGTATTAAAATGGGGAAACCTCCAGTCCCAACTTTGCTCTTGCAGTGATTTATTAGTCAGGCAGTCATTGACTCAGCCCAGATTCACGGGAAGAACACAGACCTCTTTTCTCAAGTGAAAGGTGTCAAGGAGTTTGAGGCGTGTTCCTCTGCTCCATGTAGTTAGTGTTCTCACTCCTGGTACTGGCTGCTCCTAGACAGGCACAGATAGAACACAGTTATTCCTCCCCAAACCACCTCCCAACCTAGAAAGAAGCAATCAAAGGGGAACTCCCCCAAACCCACTAAATCCTACTTTTTATTTAAGATTCTGTAAAAAAGAATCTCTCTCCCAGGTCCCTGCACCAGGTCCCTGCTCCACATCTGGGTATGCCCGCTTCTCTCTCCCCATAACTGGTCAGGGAGTGGATACCGTAACCCCACAGTATCAGTGGGGTGACTTTTTGTGTGCCCTTACATCTTACCAGTTAATGGGCTACTCTATCATAAAAACATACCCATAAAAGACATAACAGTACATTTCCCACCTATACCCACAAACACTGGTGCACCTTGCAGTAGGACAGATGTTCTACAGATGATGCTTTTGGAGCTCTGGGCCATGGAGGATTGGTGCTAAGACCCCAAGGATACCAGCATCTGATCATGTGCAAGTCCCTTACTTAAAATGGCTTCATATTTGCATATATCCTACGCACATCCTCCCAAATACTTTAAATTATCTCTAGATTGCTTGTAATTGCCTAATACAATGTAGATGCTATGCAAATACTTGTCATGCTCTATTGTTTAGAGAATAATGACAAGAAAAATGTCTGTACATGTTCAACACAGATGTAGTTCTTTGTTTGGTTTTTTCTGGGTGTTTTTGATCCGCAGTTGGTTGAATCTGCAGATGCAGGGGCAACTGCGCTTGTGTTTGGATTTCTATAAATCCAAATGGTGATGAGCATAGGCTGTGGGACTGTGAGTGGGCCTGCTAAGCTTCAGATATCTCATCTGGGAAGTGGGTATGATCTCCCTCTATCGGAAGTCCTCCTGAGGCTTAACTGACAGTCACGAATGGATAGGGTAGAAGCAAATTAACAAGGATCAACCCAGGCACATTTTTGGAAAATATAGCATTGTTTTTTATTTCAAAAACAGATTTTTTTTCCTCGCTCTGTAGTACCTCACCCCATTAGCTGATAGTGAGAGAACAGAGGACAAGAGATTTTTTAATGATCCACTAAAAAGTAAGCCTCCAAACATGAAACCATATCTATATTTATTATGATCTCAACTATATATAGAGATAAGGACTAGAAGGAAATATGTCAAAGTACTAATAGTGGTTGAGCCTTGAGGGGTGAGATTATGGGTGATTTTTTTTCCTTCTGCTTTTTTGACTTTTTTTTTGGCAACTCCCTACATCTTACCAGTTTATGTGTAATTTTTATAATAAAATATATATAAAGAATAAATATGTGACAGCACCTTCCCACGCACACCCACATACCCCAGAGAAGTGCGTGTTTCCATCAGACAGCTTTCTGTAAGGTGATGCCAGGGGTCCCTAAGCAGGTGGCTGTTCCCCATGGTGAAGCAAACCTCATACCTAGGACACTTGGCCTCTTTGTCCCTCACCCACTCATCACTGGGATGAGTCCCCCGTGTCACCCAAAAACGCCCCCTCAGGTTGCAGAAATATCTTATTTTCAGAAATGCGTGTAGGGGTGAAATGTCAGGATGGTTGTAATTTACTTTAAACTGCTTCAGATAAAACAATTATGGTAAAAAAAAATAACAGAATTGGATAGATATGTGTATTCTTCTATTCTTTCTACTTTCCTGTTTGAAATTTGTGTTTTTAAAAAAGTGGATGGAAACTGTCTTATTTCCAGATGCCCTGTTGGTGTGACACCACCTTGTTAAATGCTGGGTCTGTTATTGGTTTAAAACCCTTACAGGGTCTGCTTATTTTTCTTTAAATGTTTTCTCTTCTTCTTCTTTCTCCCCAAAGTGACATCTGGGTAGGGTAAATATCCTCAAGGCAATTAGGGGGAGGTGGCACTTGTTCTGTCCTGGGGACTTTGCTGCTTTCACAAGATTCCCCTTACCCTGCTCAGTGGTGTCTTGACAACGCACTTGCTGAGGTCTGAACCCATAGAAATGGACCATCTGCTCTCACTGACAGTGGTTCAGGCTCACTCCTAGGAAGCTGTGTCCCTGCTTCTTAAGCCACTGTTTTCCTATCTCTCACAATATTCCTATCCTCCCTAGGCACACAAAATGACTTCTGGATCTCACCCACACCATGCACATATTGAAGAGGCTCCTAATTCAGGTGACAAACCAGGATGGGATAAGGTGCAGAATGGGGAAACCCAATCATCCACCAGTCCCTTACAGTGTGCAGCATATTACAGATTTCATGTCTACCCTCCTGTCCATAATTAACTCTTTCTTGCGGGATACTCTGTGCCAAGCATAGTGCCAAGGAGCCATGTCTTTCCTTCCACTACATGGACACACAAGGTGCTTGTTGATACAAGAAAGCATAAACATATCATGATGCAGCTGTACAAGCAAATATGGGGCAGCTGCTTAAAAAGAATAAAGTTAATTGATATGTGCTGATAAGGAAAGGTGCCTAAGATATGCAATTAAATGGAAAGGCAAGTTTTAACATAATATAAGCAGCTTATGAGGGTAAGTAGTAAACTTTTCTATCCTTGTGTTAAATGATACCAGGCCCAAGTAATGACAATTGAGGTGCTTGCTGAAGAAACGCCTGCTCTTGGAAGATAAGACTGAACCAGCCAAAAACCAGAAAATAAAACAAACATACAAAAAGATTGAACCAGCTAAACATCTCACTTGCTAAGTTGTATTCTTAAAATTAGTGCAATTTATTGCATGGATGTTATATCTCAGGCTTCAAAACATGCCACAAGAAGGGCCCAAATTATTTTCATATTTTCACTTTGTCAGCCCCAAACAATCATAAGATGGCAGCTGTGATAGCCAGGTATCACATGTAATCAGCAATTCATGTGGGAGAAAGAGAGGCACTCTTTCCTGTGTGTTTTTGAAAAGTCAAGAAAACGTTTCCAGAACCCTACCCTTACGATGTCTCTTTACATCTCACTGGCCACAGTTGCATTACATGCTGTGGACTACACTAATCTCTAGCAAGGGAAATGAGACTGTCATGGTCAGTGTTTATCTTTCCCCAGTCACGAGAAAAAAAGACTTGTTGGGTTGATGACCAGTTTTACATTCATAGCAATGAGCTCCTGAACAAGCGACCAGACTGTCCCCATAGAGGCAACCTTGCAAGGATGAAACAGCATCTACATCTTTTTGAAATCTTTTCTCCATAGGGGTTGTATCTTCGTTGTTTTACCAATGATGTGATTAGTGTTCATTATAAAAATTCAGTTGATAGGTGAAACTCATCTGTAATGAACTCCTCTCACATCACTATGATAACCACAATTAAAAGTTTAACCTATAGTTTTCCAGGTATTTTTTTCTTCACAAATATGTCATTTGATATATTTATTTGTTTTTAATCTACAGAAATAGGAACATACCATATGTATAAAACATAGTCATTTGCCTATTACAATAAACAATTCCCAATTATTTTCTCTATCACTAACAACTCCAATATTCTTCAGGAGATTAGTAGCCAAGGCTTTGAAGGACCCAAGAGATGAATTACAATTAGTATAAAATACACAAGAACTTCAAAATACAAAGCCGAAATGTCAGCTGTGGCAATACAGCACTACAAATGGTCAGTCTGTTGTGGGTTCAGACATGAAGGTGCAGCTGGGTTGAGATTTCTGGCCCAACTCTTTGTGGTGCACCTGTTCTTCTCACCACTGGTTATTCTAAGAGTGGGGCCCATGACCCAGTTCTGGCTGTACATGATGGGAAGGGGCCTCTGATAGAGGTTCTGGGCAGGTTTTCCACAATCTCAAAAAGGGAAGGGTCTTTTCTGTCTCTGTATATTGTCAATGGCATGGCACGTTAGGCTCCATCTTGGAAATAGGAGGGAAAGAGACTAAGAGGATGAGCAGTGACCTGGGACAACAGAGCAGACACACAGGCAGACCTTAACGCTTGATGATGTGCCTTAAGGCAGGAACAGTCAACCCTGGGAACATCAATTTCTGATCTTTTTGAGTGAAATCACAGTTCATTTGTAGTTTCACCATTTAACTATACATAGATAAAACTTTCCTAACGAGTACAGTATAAAAGTTGTTTATAACATGCTTTTTAACTTAGTTCAGGTGTCTCCCACTTAATGTCAGAAACACTAAAGTGTTTCTAAAAAAACATGTTCTTGGTGAAAATGCCAGTAGGAAACCTATTATATTAAATAGGAAAAATTAGAATGAATTACACAGCAGTCAAAAACCAATTTCTTAAAACTTTACTAAAACTCAGTAATACGCCTTTATGTTTTAAAAAAGTATTATATAAAACACAAAGGAGTTTTAGGGCAGTAAAACTATTTTTCATGATGCTATAATGGTGTCATTACACCTTTGTCCAATCTATAGAGTATGCAATGGCAAGAGTGAACTGTACCATAACTATGGCCTCTGGGTGATTATGATATACAAATATAGGCTTATTCATTACAACATATGTATTACTCTGGGGAAGAATTTTGTCTCCCAATGGACAAGGCTATAATCTCTGCACCTTCTACTTAATTTTTCTGCAAACATAAAAGTGCTCTAAAATAGCCAGGCATCATGGTGGTGCAGGCCCGTAATCCCAGCACTCTGGAAGACTGAGGCAGAAAGATTGCAAGTCCAAGCCCAGCCTGAGTAATTCTACAACTTAATGTGATCCTGTCTCAAAATAAAAAATTTAAAAAGCTCAGTTTGAAGGCCCTCAATTTAATCCCCAGGAGAAAAACAAAGTGCTCAAACATTCAAAGTTATCAAGAAAACCTATCATATTGGGATATAAAATGCATAATATAACTTCCACATTGCCAACAATTAAAACGGTTGTTAAATATTTGTTTTGAGTTTAGTAACATGCCTGTCTTACTGCCAACAACAGTCAGGACACTGGGCTCTTTTATGGTCATGGGTTTGATTTTTTTTATCTTTTTTTTTTCAAATAATTTAGTTATTATTTGTACGTAATACATTTTTATGATTTGGTTTTAGAAAGAGGGAAAATTAGAACATCAACTATATTGGGATTGTGCTTAGGAGCTTATTGTGTGACAAAATAAATGGCATAAATACCTAAAAAGCTTAGCTGTGTCATATAACAAGAAGCTTTGCTCCGCTTGTCCACAGTGCAAAGATATTCATTTTCAGGCTGCGTAGCTGCATGGTTGTATAATGTTTGCTGTACATCTAGACAACACACCCATGTTACAAACAGGACAGATGGGGAAAGGGCAAAAAAGCCAAAGGAAGAGAGCAAGCAAGATCTGTCCCTTCATAAAAGTCTTCCTGAAATCTACGCAGGGACCGCCACTGCGCTTCAGCCAGAATTTCTCGGTACTGAAAGGCATGCATGGCTCACTTGGTTACTTTTTGTACATATAGTTCTAATTTTCCGCCAGTTTTATTTGCAACAATGAGAAAATCTTTCTCTGAGATAATTTTAAAACATTCTATTTAGTTTTAGGGATATAAATATAAATGTTTCCCCATGTAAAGTCTTGTACAAGAAAGGCATTGTTACACATTGTCAACTGTGGGTATTATAAACTAGGAGTGATTGTACAGGGAAAATGTATGTGAACCAGAGAGGCCCATTCTGCAGGATATGTCTGAATAGTATGGCAGTCCTTCCTTACTTACAACTCTTCCTTGTCTTTGACAATAGTCTCATGGAAAGCATACTATTGCATGGTTATATCATGATTGATGTGTCCTGTACGCTATAATAAACAAGGCTATATCCTAATTTATGTAAACATCCTAGTACATTTGTCCAATTATTTCTTTTGGGATAAAATAAGTCCTTGAAGTGAAATTGGTCAGCTAAAGTTTCTGAAATTTTAAAATTTTGATTCATCTTGCCAAATTACCCTCCAGAAAGGTTGTACCAACTCCTCTACTTCTCCTTTGCTAAAACAATGAACATGTATCACAGTGACACCTTGGTCCACTTAGATGGAGAAGAGGATGAATGGCCCTGTTAACACAGCCTTTAGAAGCAGAGAGCTTCATAATTCAGACACCAATTACATTTGGAAATGAGATTAGCACATGGAATTTTCCCATTCATCTCTCTGGGAGTTTCAAGGTTCCATTGCTGGGCGGATGAAACAATAAAACAAAACCAGTGAAATGAAGTCAATATGGTCCCAGAACATTTATCCTGATAAATGTTTCCACTTAGGACCAACTTTCAGGGCAGTTTTCTTAGCTTGACTTGAAGGAGCATCGCTATGTGCCATCTACGGTTTCTGTCCATTAACAATCTTTCTCACCATAACACATAACTTGATCTCATTAGCCCCCTTCTCCAAAGCATATCATGATGTTCTGCCCCAACCATGTTCTTGGGAATGATGATGAATGTGCTTGTAGAAGTTGCTGTTGTTTATATATATTCATAATAAGAGCATCAATAGTAATATAGAAGCCCACATTTACTTAATGGGGAGTTAGTGGTTAATGTTTCATTTCCAGTTTAGCATGATGACAAAGTTATGGAGATGGATGATGGTGACAGCTACATGACAGTACAAATGTACTTGATGCCACTGAATCTGACACCTGAAGATGGTTTAAATGATAAATTTTGCATGATATATTTACCAAAATTTTAAGAATGAAAAAGAAAAGCACCACTTTCTGGTTTCTAATCCATTGTGTAAAGAGTTAGAGGCTGTCACGTCACCCTAACAGTAAGTAAAAGTTGAACAAACTGAGAAATCAGCAATTCTTCTTAGATCTACCATCGAAGTGAGAGAGAGGGACAAATGCCTGTCACTCAAAACTGGAGAAAGAGGGATGGACACAAAGACTCATAACTTGTTAGACTAAAAAGCTCCAAATAAAAACTTTTGTGGGAATAAGTGCCAGAGTAGGAAAACCTGAGCTATAATTGGCAAATTGCTAAATGTTGGGTGTGTACAATTCTGAGAGTTAAAACCTCAGGAGGACCCAGACGTGGGGGCCCCGTACTTTCATGATTTTTACCTCTAGGAGCTCCACCAGATTCTCAGTGCATATTGGAGAAAAATCCCCTCATTACTCTTGCTGGGGAACAGGGAAATGGAACCATTATGAAATACACCAGAGTATTCTGTTCCTCGTAATAGGTCAAGTTAATTGCTTTCCTATATGCCAGAAATGAATAAGTAGGATTTGAAATTTAAAATACAATTTACATTATCACTGAAAAATAAAATGATCATGCTGGATGTGATGCCACACACCTGTAATTCCAGCACTTCAGAGGCTGGGGCAGGAGGATTGCCATGAGTTCAAGGCCAGCCTGGGCTACATAATGGGTTCAAAGCCAGCCTGAACTGTATAGTGAGACCCTGTCTCAAACAAGCAAAAAATAAAATATTCATGAAGATGCAGGGAAAGAGGAATCCTTTTACACTGCTGGTGGGAATGTAAATTAGTACAGCCGCTGTAAATATCATATGGAGGTTTCTCAAAAAATTATAAACAGAAAGTGGGAAAGGAAATGAAAAAAATGTGAAAAAAGGAAAAAATGGAAACAAAACCATTGTAAATAGGGAAGGGTGGAGGGGGTGAAGAGAGGGTAGGGGTATGGGGAAAAATAAGAACCAAGACCTATCATGTAAAGGTACAAGATCCCAGTGATAAATGTAACTGTACTGTTTGCTTTAAATGTACCAATAAACGTAATGGGAAAAAATTATAAACAGAGCTAGAATTTGATCCAGCGATACCACTTCCTGGTATATATCCTAAAGAATGAAAGAGAGCATACTATAGAGAAACCTGCATACCCACATTTACTGAGGCATGATTCACAATGGCCAAGACATGGAGCCACCCTACATGCTATCAGCAGATGAATAGATAAAGAAACTTTGGTATGCACACAATAGAATATGATTCAGCCATAAAGAACAAAATTGTCATTTGAGGAAAATGGATGGATCTAGAAGTTAAACTGAGTAAAATAAGCCAGACTCAAACAGGCAACTATTGCATGTTTCCTCTAATAAGTGAAATCTAAAAGAGATGAAAAGAAAGTAGAAGGGAGACTGCTATAGACAAGAGGAAGGAAATAAGGATAAGGGGGAATAAGGACAGGTAATGAGAGAGATGGATATGATAAAAATATATTTACACATTGAAAATCCCCCAATGTAAAATTAGAGGGAGGATGGGGTGAAGGGTGATGGGGGGGGCAATACGCATGCACAAACCTGCCAAAACAAAACCCATTAATTGGTATAGCCAATATGCACTAATATAAAAGGATATAAAGAGAAAATAGTCTATTTTAAAACGTAAGAAGAAGCTAGTACTCACTGTATACCAGGCACTATACACATGTAATTTAATTTCACAACAGCCTTATAAGATAGTCCCTTTGCCAGGGTGGGCTACACTGCTTTGGGTAAGACTTTGTCCAGAAACTGACTTGAGATTTGACATAGGTCAGCCTAACAGACAGAGCTATGAGGCAGGAGCCACTGGAGAATTTTTATGCCTTCCTCCAAAACAAGACTTAGATTTTTGTGACTTGAATCTGGCTGCAATGTAGGAGGAGAGAAGAATGACAGTAAAGAAGCAAGCTGAGGAACAAAGCAGGTATCCAGTAAGAAATGATAGCAAGCAGAAGCTGAGCAGTGGCTGGGAGGATGGAGAATCGAAGAGGAAGAATCCACTGACCTAGACTAAGTGTATCCCCTGGGCAAGAGGAATAGTGTGCAGGAGAATTTATTCATCCATCTTGGTTCTCTCCACCCTATTGAGGCTTCCTGTCTGCAAGCCACTGGTTCCAACTCTGATGGAAGCAGACTGGAAATAAGCTGAAAAGGTACAGGTGCCATGGGGACTTGCCAGAAAGACTGCAGAACCTGATGGTTCAGGTGTCCCATGATACCATCACTTGGCTGCTGTTGGCATGGACAGTTCTAGTCACACCAATCATGTTCTACCTCAGGGTCCTGCTCCATCTGTTTTTCTGTCTTGGAGCTTTCTAGAAACATCAGGAGCTTTCTCAGCTCATGATAAGAACAGCCCAGAAGTGCACAAAACTTAGAGCTCTTGGAGGCAACCCCATGGGGGAGGACCCCAGTAGATAAATGCTTAGTATCTTCTTGCTTCCCAGACATCCCAGAAGGAATTGAACCTCTATTTGCATGAAGTACCTGGAGAATTCACCTTATGTAGACCTCTTTCTTCCCTGTAGCATTCTTGTTTCTTCTTCATAAATATTTCCTGGGGTCTCCTCCCAAATAAACCACTTCCACCTGAGGTTCTAATTTCAGGCTCTTCTTTCAGCAAAAGGAAGGCAGGGCCTCTGCATCAGGGAATGATCCTGAGAATAAAAGTGCAGGTCTGGTTGGGTGTGGTGGCACATGCCTGTAATCTCAGAACCCTGGGAGGCTGAGGCAGAAAAATGACAAGTTTGAGCCCAGGCTGAACAACTTAGAGATTTAACAAGACCTTCCTCAAAAGAGAAATTTGGAAAGGACTGGGTATGTAGCTAAGTGCAAAGGCTCTGGGTTTAATTCCCAGTACCTTAAAAAAAAGTACAGGATTAGTGTGGGAGGGCACCTCTGATCTGAGCAAGAGTAGACATGCCTGGGAGCTTGGATGCTGCCTCAGACTCAAGGCCACTCCTGCTGCAGGTGCCTTCATTTTCTGTGGCTACTGCCCCATCAAGCAAGTTTTGCTCATCATCTTCATTTTCTTGTGTCACTGACTTTCTCTCCAAAGTAAGGGTGAGTGTATCTGATTGGCTGAGCCTAGGTCATATGTCTAATCCTATAGCCGCAAGAGGGTAAAGATTGGATAAGTCTCCTTCAAGGTTTCCAGAATCTCAAGTGATGTCTCCTTTTTAGATTCATAATCTGGAGAATTCTCCAAATATAGCAAAGGCAAGATGGCCCCAAATTAAAAACATCCATTCCACATATCTTCTGAATTAGATGATCATCTAATGCTCAATCAGAAGATTGAGATATTGCTTTGGCCTTGCCTTTCCTTTGCCAAGTTTAAATTTATCTTCACAATATCCAAAAGAGCCTAGTAATCTCAGTCCTACTAGGTTACTTAATGATGGAGGCACAAAGAATTGTAATTGCCTTGTCTTCCTCTTTCTCATTTCCGGTCTGCTCATTCTGCCTTCTGCTGAGCTCTGAAGTGTAATTCAAAGGACTGAGCTGATTCACCCCTGTCCAGTCCAGCTTCTAGTCCAATTAACAAGAGTTTCATCCTGACCTGGAAATATAGATGTTGCTAGAAGATTATTGCTCAGCTTTCCGGTCTGGCTGTTGAGAGAAGACAGGATTTTCCATTCAGAGGCAAACGACACATTACTACTCTAAAAGAGATGGCAAGTATAAAGGTGGTTGGGGAAACACCAGAGGATTATCTAACCCAAATGGGAGTTTGGGGCTAGGAAAGGCTTCCTGAAAAACTCAGTGTTTCAGATGAATCCTGAAAGAAGACTAGAGATCAGGTCTATCTGAAAGGCAAAAGGCGTCCCAGTCAAAGTCTAAGTATATGCAAAATATATCCAAGGAACAAACCCAGGGACAGAGGCTTAGAGATTCCATCAGTAAATGGCTCATTGATTATTAGGGGATCTTGGACTCTCTTGGAGAATCTGATTTATTCTATCCCAGAACTGAGCCCATGTGCACATGAACAGACACTGGCACCTACTGCCAAAGGGAGCAGGGCTCCAGATTAAGGATCCATTATGTGCATCAATCCTTTGCAGGTGTGCAAAGAAGCCCAGAGAAAGCTAATGTGGCAGCAACCTAGAACACTGACTCTGCAATGATATTGTGTTAATTCTCTCACATTCAGGTTGTAAACTTTTCTCAAATGACTAATAATCTTTATTTCAAAGGGAAGCGAGTAACAGTTGATTAGAAAACTTGCAAGCAGAGAGAAGGTTTGACAACTGACGTGTTTTTCTAGAGGATAATTCAGTGTCCAGTTACATTTTTTATGGAATGGCCCTGAACTTCATAAGAACAAGTCCTTTCTTTGGGACAGTCCAATTTCTTCATAGAAAGAGGCTCCAATCCATTGCCTATGAGGGGAAGAGCTGTTTCATGTTAATGAGCCTGGATGTGGATATTCTGCGGCTGGCTGGGAATGGGCTGAAGGTATGTTTGATTCAGCCCTCCCACCCTTCCCTGTGCTGTGACTGTCAGTGGTCCCTAAATCTGGAGTCGCAGGTTCAAATTCCCAAGAGATTAAACCCAAGGTGGCCCTGGGCTAGAAATGCTTGACTACTTGGTGTCAAGATGCCACATGATAAAGACTTTTGGTCAATCCTCTTGGTTTGGACATCCTACTCTCCCTCTACCCCCTCGATATCTAGTTCTACCAATTCCTGAGCTTTCCTGGCACTCTTGGGTAAACTGGCTGTTCCTCAACGTATGTGTCTCCTGAGGCAGCATAGTGGACCTTCATGCACTCTACCAAATCGTTTGCCATTCCCCAGCCCAGCTCCTGTCTTCATTTATAACAGGGTTAGTGATGTCTACCAGCTCCATCAAAGGTGGAGAGGTTATTTCTATTGCACGTCCTCCTTATTGCCTGGAATAGATTTAATGAGATGTTGATAAAAATAAAATTCAGCCGCCCTTGAACATGCTTAATACTACCAATACTCTGCACTTATGCTTGATTAAGATGACACATTTTATGCTGTGTTGTATTGCCACAATTAAAAACAAGACAAATAAACAAAACTCAGCCATCTTAAAACCAGAAGTCTCCCCCACCAAATTTCTATGAATGTTGGAAAACAAACTCAAGACATTTTTAATGTGTTTATATGGAGAATTAGAACATTTTAATATCATCTACACAATATACTGAGACTATTACAAGGATCATCAAGAGTGGAGCTTCTCAAATTGTGGTTCTTAGACCAATAGCAGCATTATTCACAAATTGGTTGGAAAAGAAAATTTTGGGGTTCTATTCCAAACCTACTAACTCAGAAACTCTGAGTGGGGTCACTAATCTGTGTTTTAAGAAGCTATCCAACATTAAAGATTTGGCATCTGCTTTCTGATGATTGAAGCACAGTTTCAGAACCATTTGGAGGAAAAAAAAGGAAAAATGCATGAGCTAAATATCAAAGATCTAACTCCACAGTCTGGGGAGAAGGTGAAGGGAACAGTGGAAGGGTATCTGGGTACCTGCCACGTGCTGGTTACATGCTTGCCAGTTTATATACTTATCACATTTAGTTTTCAGTTTCCTTGAATAGAAAGAATTATTTTCTCCATTTTATGAATAGGAAAACTTGGGCCAAGGATTTAGCTCAGTGGTGCCGCCACCTGCCTTGCAAGCAAAAGGTCCTGAGTTCGATCCCTGGTACCAAAAAATAAAATAAAATAAAATGAACAGGAAAACTGAGGCTCAGGAAAGGTAGTAATTTAGCTAGTTAAGTTATTTAACCAAGGTCTACCTCATCCCTAGGCCCTTCTATTTATGTTAGACACCTTCCTCCTTTAAAATTAACCTTATCCCTGAGACTATCACAGGCTATGGAAGACTAGAGAAAAGAAAACAAGATTTCTCCTGTGCTTACTAAAATCCCTCACCATCCAAAGAAAGATTCAAGTGCCACCTCCTCTGGAAAGTCTTTCAGGACCGCCTTGCTTAAGTTAACCTTCCCATAGTGCTCATACATAGGTACCTGCTCAAAAGTACCCCGTATACCTTATTGTTGAAGTTCTCAAGCCTTTGGTTCCAGGGTCCCCTAAAAGTAATTGATGTCTGTCATAGTCCATTTTATGTTACTACGACTGAATATAACAGAGTAACTTATAAAGAGTAGAGATTTATTTAGTTCATGGCTCTGGAGGCTGGGAAGTCCAAAACCATGGTGCTCGCATCTGTCTCATGTCTAATGAGGGCCTCTTGGCTGCACTGTGACATGGTAGGGGAATGACATGGTGAGACAGCACAAGTATATGAGTGTTTCCTTTTGTAATAAAGCCAAAATCCATTAATCCGCTAATCCACAAATAGACCCAATCACCTCCCAAATGTTCCACTTCTCAAATACCATTAACATATGACTTTGAGGATTATGTTTCCCACACATGGAATTTGGGAGACACATAATTGTGAAGCTCAACTTCACACATTGTACAAAAATATAAACTCAAGATGGATCAAAGATTATGTACAATTTAACACTGTAAAAGGTTTCTTTTTTTAGAGGAGAAAATCTTCAGGATGTTGGGCTGAGTGAGAAGTTGTTAGACTTGACCCAAGCAACGATCCATAAAAGAAAAATAAGTGGATAAAGTGGATCATTCAAAATGAAAACCTTTTGTTCTAACAAAGACCCTGTGAAAAGAACAAAAGCACCAAGATAAAATGTTTACAAACCATGTATCTGACAATGCACTGTTATCTACATGATATAGAGACTTCTCAAAGCTCAAGCAAAAATGTTTCCATTAGAAAATGGACAAAAGAAATGAAGATATTTGACCTGAAAAGGATCTATAGTTGCCAAATTAGCAAATATTTTCAACATTGTTAGCCATTAGAAAACTGTATAAAAGCCATAATGAGATATCTATTGTAACTGTCAGAATCGCTAAAATGAAAAAATGACAATAATCCTAGTGAGAATGCAGAAAATAATGAAAATAATGAGAATGGATCTTTCACACATAGCTCATTGGAATGGAAAATGGTACAGATGCCCCAAAAAGAATTTGGCAGTTTTTTACAAAAGTAAACGTGCTTACACACAACCCAGCAATGGCACTTTTTTGGCATTTATCAAGTGAAAACTTATATTCACACATGAATGTTCCTACCAACTTTATTTTTAATAGTAAGAAATCAGAAAAAATCCAAAAGTATGTCCAGAGGCAAACAGTTAAACAAACTGTGGCCCATCCATTTTGTGGAACACTATTCAGCCAGAGGTAGGAATGGATTTTTGATACTTGTGAAAAACTGAAAGGACCTCAAGGGAATTATATAGAGTGCAAAGGGGAAAAAATAGCATTTAAAAAGGTCATACACTATATCGTTTCATTTATATAATATTTTTGAAATGACAAAATTATAGAGGAAGAACAGGAATTATGGAGAAGGAAAGAAGGTGGATGTGGTGATAAGGAGTGATCAAAAACGTGGTGAATATTTAAAATTTTTTAAAAAACTTGTTGTAGTAAGACACATGGCCCAAAACAATGGGATAACTGTGTTTGAGGCAAAGTAGAGTATTTTGAGGGGGATTAATGGCAGTGTGTCTTTTACTATACATTTTTAATTTAAACATTCACTGTATATTTTGATCACCCTTGAAAATGTAGCTTAAGAGACTCATGTGATGGAACTGTCTGTTCTGGTGGTAGTCATGTAAATCCACTTGTAATAGAGTTGAATAGAATTAAATACACACACAGCCATGTATATTATGTAAAACATGAAATCTAGATAAGATGGATGGATTGTATCCATGTCAATTTCCTGATTGTGATATTGTACTAAAGTTATGCAAGATGTTATCATTGGAGAAAACTGGTATATAAAGTCTCTCTGTATTCTTTTTTTACAAGTGACTATGAATTGCAATGATTTCAAAATTAAAAGTTTTTTTAATATTGAGGATTGTAACGATATTTGCTCTATTAGAAATTTAAATGGAGATAATTTACAAGTGTCTCCTTAATTTATCTTTAAAACCACAATGTTAATTTAAACAATTTTTATGAAATATCATTATATTTTAAAATATAGTTAGACAAGCAATATTGTTCTATATATCCAAAAATCTCTTTAATGTCTGACTTCACAAACAACTGGATCCTCATATCTGCTTCTTCATTACAGGCATCATAAAACCTTCAGAGGGTTTTTCTGGAGGCGCATAGTGGGATACTCAATTCTGGGATAGAACCAAAGACAAATAATGTCTTGGTGTTATTATGAAAATAGTTTTAACCTCACAGACCCACTAAGAGGGTCTCAGGATCTAATAGTCTCCCTGGCCACGCTGCAGCAACTCCTGTATTATTGTGATCACCTGTCCCTGCCCTCACAGCCAGTGAGGGTGGAAGCCGTTTATCTTTCATCTTTATATTTCAAGTGCCTGGCACAAAGCTGATGCCCAAGAAATATTTGATGAACCAATGAAATATTAATGACTTGTTTTCCAAGAGAGAGGAAAAGGGAGGAGAAGGGAGAGGGAGAGGAAGAGAGCATGTATTGCCGTCGACTTCAAGCTCTGAGTCAAAATAAAGGTCAGAGTGTTCTGATATAGCTTGGTCTGAAGGAACAAACATTGTTGTGAGAAATCTGGAGGCTCCTGGAGCATGAAACATGGGTACATGGTGATGACTGAGTGGCCTTTTGAAAAGGTCCCCCCCATGTCACAATTCCTCACAGTCTCGTCCTTCAGGCCTTCACACACCATCAGCCTAAGCACAGAGAGAAATGGACTTTGCAGGTCATATAAACACAATAAATTGTTTTCTTCTGATTATTATCTTTTTTATCCTCCTAACTCCCTAGGCTATCTCCCAAGTACCCATGAGTGCACAGTCTCAGCCTACTTGGTCCACAGCTACAGTGGGAGAAGGAAAAGACTTCAGGCCACCATTTCAGATTATGAATTTGTTCTCAGTTCTCATCCACAGTATTTATCAATTCATAAATTAGCAGGGACAAAGAAAAGTGAGGGTGCTGCTTTAAAATTGTCACTGAAGCTGAAAATGGTGGCACATGCCTATAATCCCAGCACTCAGGAGGTTGGGGCAATAGGATCACCACAAGTTCGAGGCCAGCCTGGGCTATAGTGAGCTCAAGGCTAGTTTGAACTACAAAGTGAAACCTTGTCTCAAAAAATAAAATTGCCGCTGAAAATATTTGCTGGTTGCCTCCATGCATCAGACAGGGAGGCAAATCTGTGGGGACACTGCCCAGTGACCATGAAGTCCTTGCCTCAAAAAGTCCCTGATCTGGGAACTAACAGCTCCACACGAGCTGGCAGCAGAGACTCTAACAGTGGTGAGAGAAGAGTAAAGAGGAATCAACTTTTTAGAATCAAGGAAGAGAGTCACCTTTGACTTTATCCTTGAAAGGGAGAAGGCTTCCGCATGAGCAGAAGATGGCAGAAGAGAAGGTATTATGTCAGGGAGGAGGTACAATTAATTGTTTTAACACAGACCTCAAGTGACAGTGGTGGAAATGTAATGGAAGTTTCTTTCATCAGGTCCTGGCTTACATATTCTAGAATTCCCACAACAACCCCAAATCATCAGGAACTCAGACTTCTTCCTCCCCAGTGCTCCATTATACCTGAAGCCAGGCGATGTCTGTTTGTGTGGTCCAAAATCACAGTGTCTGCATTCCAACCAATGCAAGTAGGGAGTGAGAAGGTATGCATCCTCTTTCCTTCTATGGGCACAATTCAGACGTTGCACACCTCTACCCCTCAGGTCCTACGGCCAGAACATAGTTGCAAGGGAGGCTAAGAAGTGCAATTTAAACATAGGGGCTTCTATTGCTCTAGGAGAAAATGTGGGACACCTAGAGGTTTTTACCCCAAAGCCAGAGGTGGGAAAGTGAAAGGCAGCCAGGAGCTGCGTGTGTGTTCAGAAGTTGTGGGATGAGGGATAGAAATATATAGGGAAATTGGGAGCTGGGCAAATAGTAGAGAAGGGCCACAAATACCAAAGCTATAGACTTTCTTCTGGAAGTCAGTTCTCCAGCTTGAGTGTACACCAGCATGCCCTGGAGGGACTGCTAAAACCCTTGTTGCTGGGCTCCACACCGAGAGTGTTTGATCCACCACGTCTTTATAAGATCTGAAAATACACATTTATAACCAGTTTCCAGGTGCTACCGGTGATCCAGGAACTTTGAAATATGTAGAGCCATGGAAAGTCTGGAGAGGCAAATAATGTTTGTATATCAGAAAGCTAAATCAGTAGCAGTGATAGAGAACACACAGTACTGAAGCTCTCAGAAGGAGCTTCACACCTTTTTTTTTTTTGAAATAGGGTCTCACTATATAGTTGACCTGGAACTCACTATGTAGCTCAGGCTGGTCTCAAACTCACAGTGATCCTCCTGCCTCAGCCTTCCAAGTGCTGGGATTACAGGCGTGCACCACCACACCTGGCTGCTTCGCACCTTCTTGATCTTCATGTTCCTGAGAAATTGCACTCAAGAGAAACAAGGATGATAAAAAGACTGCAAAGCAAGGTCACAGAATCAGTGCCCAAGCGTCACTCCCCCACTTCCTGGCAGGGCTGACAGAGCCAGCCTGTATCTCCTCCTATTGTTTCTCTGTTCTGTGCGCAGAAGCCTGCTCTGGGGGTATTGGGCAAGTCCCTGTCTTCACTGCTCCAGAGTTTCCATCAATAACAACAAGGGAGATAATTTACTTGTCCAAGGTCTATCAAGTGGTACAGATCATAAAGCTGGTCAAAGCTGGAGAATCTGATGATCAAATCAAAATTTAAAAGACCATACTGTTTGATTTAATAGTTCCATATCCAGGAGCTGATCCTACAGAAAATTCTCATGTTTATGTGCCAAAGACGAGGTTATTTAATGCTTCCATTATTCAGCTCTCTAGTACCATAACAAATTACCCGAGATAATTAACTTATAAAGAGAAAAAGATTATTAAGGATTACAGTCCAGTGGTCAAAAGTGAAGGACCTCCAGTTTAGGGCCTGCAAGGAAGCTTCACATCATTGTAGGAGTGCATGGAAGAGCAAACTGTTCCCCTAAGGACATCCCATAAGGTTCCACAACTGCAACAGCACCACCCTGGAGATCAAGCCAATGAAAAATAGGCCATTGGGAGATATTGAAGATAAACTCTATAGCAATACCCATCACCTATACTGGCAAGAGATAGAAAATGACTTAAATATCATCCATAGGGAGCTAATTACATAAGTTAACAGGTATTCAAACATGGAAAAATGGGTAGTCCTTACAAATGAATTAGATCTATATGTGCCCATTTAGAATAATCTCTGATATATGTGTGTGCATAAAATTCCCGAGATTATATATGCTAGATAGTAGCATATTTTATACACACACATATACAGAGCAGACCACTGCTGTGATGTTAACTGTGTGAACACATGCGTAACACTTACATATTCAGGGGACACCTCTAGAAGGATTTGTAGGAACAGTTTGCCCCTTAGATAGGAATTCGAATGGAGGTCCAGATTGTGGAAGAAATTTACTTTTCACTTTTGTTTGTTTTTGCTACTTTGAATATTTATTACTTGTTTAAATACATGAACATGCAAGCAATGCCAGGTGCTTTAGATGATTCTCTAAACCTTGAGAATTACCTAGCAGGAAAATGCTCCCGCAATTCCCAGAGGAAGGGAGGCAAAATCATTTGGGCATAAAGGTGGATAGAAGGGAATGGGAGGAGCCTCGATTTGTAGGGTTGAAAGTTTCCATAGGGTAAACTCTCCCTCCATGGCTGATTTCAAACTACCAGCCTGATGTTGCTGAGCAGAGTGAAAAGATTCACACCACTGACTCTCAGGAGCTGAGAGAAACCAGATCCTGCCTGCAGTGAAGGCAATATTGTACCATGATCAATACCACTGACTCTCCACTCTGTTCCTGAGTGTTGCTCTTCAAAACCAAAACAAATGGGAGCAAACACAGCACTTCAGCATCTAAGAGCGACTACCGGGGATCTTCAGAGATAGATAGTGGGGAGTTCCTGGCAGTGTTTACTCGCAGTTTCCAATGGATTTGAAACAGAAACCCAGACATTAAAATTAACTGTCTATTTTTTTAATTTGCAAGTTGCTTTTCCATTTTCTTTATGAAATATTATTCATGGCTATACAACCAGAAAGCAACAAAAGAATAATAAATCAATCACTATTAGTAGTTTGTCAGCACAACCTTGTGTACTTATGGAAGTTCAGCCATCACAATTAGGAAGGTGATTTAGAAACATTCTCAGTACAGTAATGGGAGACATGGGAACAGGAGAATCAGATTCCAGTTGTGCCCCAGCTCTGCCACCCGCTAGGGATGTTGGGTAAGTCACTAAGCTTCCGTGTCTCACCTGACACATGTGCTAAGTGGAGACAATGCCCACCAAACAGGTCTGTACTGGCAGGTTTACTATGTTTCATACATGAAGTTAATACCTGGATATAGGGCAGAGCCCCCCGCCATTACTTATGCTCTTATAAAAGCTCTTGGAATGTTTCCTGATCCCTAGTGTTTCTCAATTACCTTATTCTAAGCCACAAAGTATTGTTTAGGAAAGACTAAATTATAGAAGTCATCTGAAGAAATTGGTTTAAAATGTAAAAATTTTAGACACAGATGTAAGTCATTACACCTGGGTTAATCTCATATTCAACTCTTAGGCAAGTCTTCTGTAAGTTTTATGAAAGAAGGCTTTAAAAAGAAATATAGTCTGGGCTACACACTGAGTTGAAGGCCAGCCTGACCTGCATAGACTCTATCTCAAAAATAAATAAATAAAAGCAAAAAGAAATATAACAGAGATACATTAAATCTAACAATGTGATAATGAATATAAACCAATAGAAGAAATAGAAAAAAGAATCTGTCCTAAGATTAAGGATATCTAGCAGGAAATATTTCAACAGCAGCATTACATAAATGCTCAAAAAGTACTGGATGAAAATGTAGATAGGAGGAAACACTGTGACTTGGGAAGTTACCTGAGTGATGCAGAAACCATCCCAGTGACAATAAAGATACTAAGATCCAGGTGCTGAGGAAGAGATGGAAGAAAGTCATCTTGTGAAATGAGAGTGAAAAAAAGCCCAATATTTCTAAATACAGTAATCTTGAAAGTATGCATACACTTTAAATAATAATTAATAGACATTTCATTATTCCATCTGCAGCCTAAGGGATGTGTACATTCTAGTTGATCTCTCAAAAATATATTATTTTGTGCAATCACGTGATTGAGAAAAACAGGCATGTGAAACACAATCTTATATCCAGGTGTGTGCCACATGTTAGACTCATGTATTAAACATGGCAAATCTGTGGGTACAATTGTTTCCGGTGGGAGTCAGTTTTGAGTCAGTTAAGATAGAAAAACATCTTAAGTGTGGGACAACCCAATATCAAGACATAGCTAATGTATAAAAGCACTTTAAATCCCACAAAGCTCTGTGTGGTTTACAAGAATTGTGTGATTTTTGGTAGTCATCATAACACTATCATGGTGATAGTTGTTCTACAACCACTTGGGCTCTGGTGGTGATCTTCAAAGCACTTCTTTGGATTAAAATCCCTTGATCTTTCTCTTCCTAGCTGTGTGAAATCAGGCAAACTCTTAGCCTAACCTCTCTGTGTCTCAGTTTCCCCTTCTGTAAAATAGAGAATGTAATAATACTTCATAGGATTAGTGATTCAATATTAGTATATGTAAGAAGTATTTAAAAGAGTGTCTGGTAGGTGCTTCTGAAATGTTAGTTATTATCACTATTCCATCAAGAGAAAACAAATATTTCTAATAATGTTTTTATTTCAACTGGGAATGGAGCTCAGTGGTAGAGTACATTGCAAGTCCCTGGGTTCAATCCCCAGCACCGATGAATAAATAAATTAAATATTTAATTAACACGTAATAATTGTACATATTTATGGGGTATAGTGGGACATTTCAATACATATATGCAAGGCGTGGTGATCAAATTAGAGTAATTAGCATACATCACCTCAGATATCTACCAGTTTTTGGTGTTAGAAACATCCAAAATTCCCTCTATGAGGTGTTTTTAAATATTCAAATAATTGTTGTCAACCATAGCTATCCTATGATGCTAGACCACATCAGAAGTTACACCAAAGGAAAATGTTTATTTCCCATTAAGCTTATTGGTACATTTAAAGTAAACAATACAGTTACATTTCTTTGGGATCTTGTATGTTTACATGATATGTCTTGGTTCTTGTTTTTTCCTCAGATCCCTGCCCTCCCTTCACCCTCTTCACCCTTCCCTATTTACAAAGATTTTGTTTCCATTTTTTCCTTTTCACATTTTTTCTTGTCCCTTATTTACTTCCCCTTCCCTTCCCACTTCCCCTTTAGCCATTTTCTTCCTATTTCACCCTCTCAAGTATACCATTTGAACCTTATTTACACTTTGTTTTTCATACCAGAGAAACTATTAGGTATTTACTCAAGTGTGTCCTATTTATTTCACTTGAGTATAACCTCAAAAAAAAAAGAGTATAGCCTCAACATGCATCCACTTAGCTAATTAAATGTCTCTAGTTTCTCATTCTTTATGGCTAAGTAGTACTCCATTTTATAGAAACACCACATCTTCTTTATCCAGTCTCCAGATGATAGATATTTGGGCTGTTTCCAAGTTTTAGCTATTACCAACTGCCACTATAAACATGGGTGTACATATATCACTGTGGTATAATTCTTTTAATTCTTTTGGAAAGATACCCAGCAGAGGGATAGCTGGGGCAAATGGGATCACTAATCCTAGTTCTTGGAGGTATCTCCATATTGATTTCCACAGTGGTTGCACCAGTCTGCACTCCCACCAATGGCGAAGGGTTCCTTTCTCCTCATATCCCCGCCAGCATTTGTTATTGATTTCTTGATAGCAGCCATTCTTTCTGAGGTAAGGTGGAATCTCAGTGTTGTTTTCATTTGCACTTCTTAAATGACCAGTGATGTTGAACATTTTTTCATATATTTGCTTCTTTTACTTGTCTGAAAAATGTCTGTTCATGTCAGATGCCCATTTTTGAATTGAGTCTTTGTATTT